GAATGTCAGAACCAAAAAGTCTCAATGTTTAAATTTTCAGACGATTGTTATGACAATATAAGATTATCCGGAGGTATGAATATTCTTGAAATAAATATTTATTGGCAACTTAAACAGAAGATTTGGAAATCAAAGCAACATTTTAATTAACATTTAATTAATTAAGCAACATTTTAATTTCAGCTGCTTTTCAAAAAGCCACAATGGACCCTACATTTTGAGGCCTTGTTGCTCGGAGAAAGAACTGTGAATATTTTAGTCTGAGAGGGTTTAGAATGACATTATAATCACAGGGACACTGTCTGACTCTCTGTGTTTCTAAACTTAAACTGGTCACGTGGTGACTTGAAGCTACTTCGCAGTCGATGCAGTGGAGGCTTTGCTGTGTAGATTAGCAGTTTCTCTCTCACACTGACAGTCACAGCTGAACAAATTTATTGGGATCTGAAATTTTAACCGGATTTACAGTTAAAGAGCCAAATATGTTACGTTGGAGCCAATTCTGCTCCTGGTCCCCACCCCCCAGGAAGATAGTTCAGCTCTATCCGGAGATTCATTTTATCCTGAAACTGCGCCTCCATTTTTTTCTGGAAATACAAATTCAGACTAACATTGTTGTCAAGAATTCAGTAACAATTAGAGAAATTCCTGCTCCGACTGTCTCTTACAGAAAGCTCCGCCCACCACTCTCACCTCTCCTCTCAAACTCTGAGAGGATCATTATTCTAACAATAATAATAATAATAATCCCTGCATTTGACCAATTTATTGTTGTTTTGTTTTTGAGGGATGATTTTTAGGAGTGTGGAGTTAGGAAACTTGCCCGGTTTACACAGTTATTTGACACAATTTTGTTCTGCACCATGTCCGGGTGTCTTTCACATTACCTTTCCTCTGCTGGAGAAACGCCGCCCTCCTCAAGATCATCAAGTGGATGACCAGTTGGGCAGGTGATACACATCGCAATAAACACAGTTTTTCTTACACAAAAACTGTGACAAAGATTACAAGTGCATTATATAAGAACATAAGAACATAAGAATTAGGAGCAGGAGTAGGCCATTCGGCCCCTCGAGCTGCCCCACCATTTGATAAGATCACGGCTGATCTTCAGACCTAACTCTAATTACCTGCCCTATCCCCATATCCGCTAATCCCTCTATTTTTTAAAAATCTCTCAGTCTCAGCCTTGAAGATGTTCATTAAGAATACTTTACTCCTTAAATGTCATCTGTGAAAGCCTTGTTCTCAGCCACGACTCCAGCCAGCACACACACACAGGTACGCACACACAGGTACGCACACACAGGTACGCACACACTCACGCACAAAAAAAAACATAATAATCATTGCTTTAGGTGCAGTGCCTATCACGGTGGTGAGACGTCTCAAAGCGCTTCATAGGATACAATGTAATGTGGATTGACTGTACTTTGTGGGAAAACACAGAAGCCGTTTGAGCAAAATAATGTCCCACCAACACACGTAGAGTGATTGGTCAATTTTATAAAGGTGACTGTTGACCAGGACAACAGGAGAGAGAGAGAGATACTGACTTCTGTTTTTGAATAGTGCCGTGAGATCTTTAACGTGGAATTGATGGTTTAACACCTCAATCCGTGTATACACACACCACACACACACACACTCAAACACACACATACACACATATATACATACATGTATACATTATAATACTTGCATTTCATATTGTGCTTTTCAAATCTTTGAGACATCTAAAAGCGCTTCACAGTATAATGTAAAATGAATTGACTGTATATTTGTGGGATAAACACGGCAACCAATTGGGTACAGGAGTTTCCCACAAACAGTCGTGCATTGAAATAACCAATTTTATTTTTATTTTTTTTCTTGAGGCATCATTATCAGGCGGGTGGGGTAAGGAAACGTTCCCAAGGTTTCACCCTGACGGAAACCGAACCCAAGTCTCTCGATTGTGAGGCGTGTGCTCTAACTACTGAGCCACAGGACTTCTACTCATACAGGAGACATAAACAGATACACACACACACATACAGACACATATCTATGTGCACGTATGGAGATACATAAATGCATATATACTAATATTGATTTGGGTCACAGGTTTATTTTAGTTTATCTGTGTGTCTGACCAAATTGCAGAAAAGCAGAACCTCAAATCTAACTTTCTTCTTGGTTTCCAGCTGTAACTACTCCTCCCAGTCTTTACGCCCTGCTGCCATACTGTGGACAATCCTCTTCTGGAGGCTCAGTGACTGTTGGGTGTCTGGCCTCCAGCTACAGCCCCGATCCCGCCATCTTCACCTGGAGATCAAATACAAATCCCATCACTGACCAAGTCGAGACTTATCCCTCAGTGCTCAACAAGAACGGTCTCTACACTCTGAGCAGCCAGTTAACAATCGCTGAATCCCAGCTGGGCAGCATCTATTGTAAGGTTGCACATAAAAGCAATACCTGGTCAGCCGTGGAAATCGTCGTGCCAGGTCAGTGTTGTTCGCCAACGTACAGAACAATCAAACATGTTGCTGCCATATCATTCAGTGTAGAACACTCAACATTGTAGGTGTGGGTATGTCACTTTTCTTCACCAGGTTATGTGAGCACTCCCATCACAGAGAATCTGCAATGTCCTGATGATGTTACCCTCATTTCCCAAGTGCTGCGTTACCCGGAGATAATGGGCACAAATGAACAGATAGAAAGGACTCCAACCAGTTCAGTTGGACCAGGGAAGATAGGGGAGCAGCCTGACAAGAAACAGACACAACACAAACTAGAGAGAGGGAAGGTGGGACTCTGAGAAGGAGAGCGAGCGAGCTTTGGAGAGCAAGGATTGAGCAATGCTCAACGATAGGCAACATGGCAGGGAAGAATAGAAGAGTTTTCAACTTTAAGCCCACTTTAGAGTCGAGTGCAATATATCAGATGGAATGATTGAGAACATTGCAATGTTTATCTTTGTAAAGATAGTTGGAAGATTGAAAGAGTTAAATCAATAAGAGAGGAGTTTCCAAACCGTGACTGAGATCAATGTTTATTTCAATATGAATATCAATTGCACCACAAAAAATATTTCAATCGAACAAAACATAACCTATTTTTCAATATCCTGCAGATCTCCCGTCACCGTTGCCCCCAGTTGTTATCCTCACACAGTTTTCCCCGGAGGACATCGCAATGCACAAACCGACCACTGCTATCTGCTTCATATACGGTTTCCGTCCGGACAGTCTCAGTGTTGAGTGGCTGAAGGACTGGCAGCCCATACACTCAGGTGTTGTGACCTCTCCCTCGGTTGAAAACAATGGGACATTCAGCACCAGCAGCCGTCTGACTGTCACCGCCAGAGAGGGGAAGAGCGACTCGGTTTACACCTGCAAGGTGACCCATCAGCCCTCCCACACCATCACTGTCAAGAACATCACCAAGTACCCAGGTAGGAGGCACAGCACCAGCTGATACACACACCAACAACAGGGCTCTCAGTTTCCTTGCAAATGTCCACTTGTGGGAGCTCTGGGGCACTTTGGGTTGAGCTCCTTTTGTATATTTCATTGGGATCAATGCACATGTGAGCCTTGAACCAAAGTTTATGGATGTGTACAACATGAGGAAATCGGTACCCGATCCTCACTGTGTTATCAGGAGATGGCCAGGCAGCCGCACTGTGTGGCTCTGTTTCTGATCTGCTGCTCAAGGGGAGATCTGCATCTCTCACAGGTCCACGTGACTGTGGCTGTAATTCCCATATTCCACCCTCTTCCTCCACGTCTACTTTCACTGAACTTCCTGATCACAAACAGTCAATTTGGTCACTCCGCGCAGATATGCAGTGAATCGCAGACTGCAGAGTTACAACTCATCCAATGTATATGTTTAATGCTGAATTGTTGTCAGTCGGAGGGAATTGGAAATCAATCGGCCAAATATCACGCAGTGTTTCAGAAAGATTGTTCATCTTTCCATTAAATCATTTCAATACCAACTGATAATTCTGTTAGGAAACCGCGGTGTGTGTTCAGCTCACCCAGAACGTGAGAATATTCATGGACAGTATTGCTTAACTTCATCAAATATGAAATCCTGGATATTGGCTGTTCTTTGGGTTTCAAGTTTCTTTTCCTTTTCTAGATTGTGCCGCCTGTTGAACCTGTCAAGGTCTCTTTCCTGCCGCCTTCACCGAAACAGGTTTTGATGGAACCCATTGTAACGCTGACATGTGTCGTGGCGAATGCACCACATGACGTCAACGTGACTTGGACACAAGAACAGACACATTTACAGTCTGGATATGGAAAACCATCTGCCACTGGGCCTCAGGAAGTGATCAGTAAACTAAACATTTCTACACAAGACTGGACCGGTGGAAAAGTATACTTCTGCATTGTCAGCCATGACGATATACCGACTCCCATCAGAAAAAAGATATTTAAGGAGCCCGGTGAGCATCCAAGTTCAGGATATAAACCATTTATTTGTTTATTGTAATTTCATAATATAGACAACAGATACAATTGTGAAAACAATTATAAATTGTCTGTTTCTGTTTTTAATTCTGTCGACCTATCAGCAGCATTCGATACGGTCGACCACGCTATCCTACTCCACCGCTTGTCCTCCACCTAACCTTCCAGGCACTGTCCTTGAATGGTTTAGGTCGTACCTTTCTCACCGTCTTCACTTTGTCTCGACGAATGGCTTCTCCTCCACCCCCGCACGTCTCATGTGGTGTCCTCAGGGCTCGTCCTTGGGTCCCCTCCTCTTCACCCTCTATATGCTCCCCTTGGTGACATCATCCGCAGACATGGAGTTAACTTCCACATGTATGCGGATGACACCCAACTCTACCTTTCCTCCTCTACTCTCAACTCCACGACCACCGATGTCCTGACAGCTGTCTGTCCGAAATCGAGTCCTGGACGAGAGACAACTTTCTTCAGCTCAACGTGCGAAAAACCGAGGCCCTCCTGATTGGCTCACGTCAGCGCCTCCGCACCTCAGGCGCTGACACCATCATCATCCAAGGCTGCACTCTCCACCTCTCAAAGACGGTCAGGAACCTCGGCGTTTTGTTCGACCCTGAGCTGTCCTTTCTCCCTCACATCCGCACCACAACGGGCACCGCCTTCCATCACCTCCGGAACATCGCCAGACTACGGCACTACCTCACCCCTCACGCTGCTGAAACCCTGGTTCACGCCTTTGTCACCTCAAGGCTGGACTATGGGAACTCTTTCCTCGCCGGCCTTCCCGCCACCTCCCTCCACACTGCAGGTCATTCAGAACTCTGCAGCTCGTGTACTGTCCCGCACCAGGCTTCGGGACCACATCACTCCCACCCTCGCTCGCCTCCACTGGCTCCCCATCCCCCAGAGGATTGATTTCAAGATCCTCATCCTCACCTACAAGGCCATTCACAGCCTTGCTCCCTCCTACCTCTCCAACCTACTATCCCCCTACTCACCTGCCCGTACCCTCCGTTCCTCTGGCTCCGGTCTGCTCCACATCCCCCGCCCAACGCCCTACCATCGGTAGTCGGGCCTTCAGCCTCTCAGCCCCCAGGCTCTGGAACTCCATCCCCCAGTGCCTTCGCCGCTTCCTCCCTTTCCTCCTTCAAGGCCGGTCTCAAAACCTTTCTCTTTGACCGTGCCTTCAGCTCCCCTCTCGACTCTCTTCCCCCTCCTCGCTCCCTCCCTTCCCTCCCCCTCACCCTGACCATTTCCCCCCTGCTCGGGTCATGACCCAACTGTGCAGCGCCTTGGGACGTCCTCCTGACGTGAAAGGCGCTTTATAAATGGAATCTTGTTGTTGTTGTTGTTGTTTCAGCAGCTTTTGAAGTGAGGTATTGGTGAGATGGGCGATGGGTCGGAGGTGGAAGAAAGCGGTGCTGGTGAGGGACCGGATGTGGGAGTTGAACCTGACGCCTAGGTTGCATACGGGTTTGGAGAGTTTTAGGGGGAGGTCGGGTGGGTGGAGGAGGTGAGAACCATTTGATTTTAGACGTTGACGAGAGCCAAAGATTATGGCTTCCGTCTTGTCAACATTTGGCTGAAGGAAATTTGCGCTCATCCAGCTCTGATGTCTTGACAGGCAGGCTGACAGAACATCAGGGGACCGGGAGTCGTAAACTGAGGTGGAAAAATATCGTCCGCATATACGTGGCAGTGTACCCTTTGTCTGCGCATGACATCCCCATAGATTAGGAAGAGGAGGGGGCCAAGGATGGATCCTTGGGGTACCCGCAGGTAACCTGGTGAGAGCGGGAGGAAAAGCTGTTTGTGCAGGTGTACTGCTGGCGGTTCGTGAGATAGGACTCGAACCAGGCGAGTGCGGTCCCACTTAGGTGGGTGACGGAGGAAAGGCGGTGGAGGAAGATGGCGTGTTCGACTGTGTCAAAAACGGCGGAGAGGTCCAGGAGGACAAGGAGACTGAGGGAGCTCTGGTCACAGGTGGAGAGGATGTCATTTGAGACTTTCACAGTCTCTGTACTGTGGGCGGAAACCGGACTGGAGGGGTTCGAAGGGAGAGTGGGAGGAGAGGTGAGCGCGGAGTTGATTGGCAACAACGCGTCCGAGGACTTTGGCGAGGAAGGGCAGGTTAGAGATAGGGCGGCAGGTGGTGGGGGTTTGAGGGATCTTGGGAGGGCGGGGTTTGAGGATGTGGGGGTGATGACAGCGGTTTTGAGGGGTGACAGGGACTGATCCAGAGGAGAGGGACTGGTTGATGTTATCAGCCAGTAGTGGGCAGAGGAGGGGGAGCTGGTCACCAGAAAGTTGGTGGGGGAGTTCGCGGCAGCAGGTGGTGGGTTTCATTGAAGTGATGGCGGGTGAGAGGGAGGAGGGAGGGATGGGGAGGAAGGAAGGAATGTAGAATGGGGGTCACGGTAGGAGCTGATGATGGGGAGCCTGTGTGAGGGGCGGCGTAGGGTGACGAGAGGCAGGAGGATGCGGATGAGGGGAGCAGCGGGTAGAGTGGGGGGGAGACATAGCGAGTGGAGGCTCGGGTCGGGGCGGCAGCCGAAACGCGCACAAAGAGACCGGGAGCGAGCGATCAGCGGGACGGCATCAGCCCGCAGGCCGGGATCGGCGGTGACGATGTCTCCTGACTCCACTCCCCGAGTGAGTGGCTCCTCTCTGGGCTTCACACCCGCTGCCCTACTCGGCCTCGGCTCAGCCCCGCGCTGTCCTGACTCCGCTCCACCAGCGAGAGGCTCCTCTCTGGGCTTCACACCCGCTGCCCTACTAGGCCTCGGCTCAGCCCCGCGCTGTCCTGACTCCGCTCCCCCAGCGAGAGGCTCCTCTCTGGGCTTCACACCCGCTGCCCTACTAGGCCTCGGCTCAGCCCCGCGCTGTCCTGACTCCGCTCCCCCAGCGAGAGGCTCCTCTCTGGGCTTCACACCCGCTGCCCTACTAGGCCTCGGCTCAGCCCCACGCTGTCCTGACTCCGCTCCCCCAGCGAGAGGCTCCTCTCTGGTCCTCACACGCGCTGCCCTACTAGGCCTCGGCTCAGCACCGCGCTGTCCTGACTCCGCTCCCCCAGCGAGAGGCTCCTCTCTGGGCTTCACACCCGCTGCCCTATTAGGCCTCGACTCAGCCCCGCGCTGTCCTGACTCCGCTCCCCGAGTGAGTGGCTCCTCTCTGGGCTTTACACCCGCTGCCCTACTCGGCCTCGGCTCAGCCCCGCGCTGTCCTGACTCCGCTCCCCCAGCGAGAGGCTCCTCTCTGGGCTTCACACCCGCTGCCCGCTAGGCCTCGGCTCAGCCCCGCGCTGTCCTGACTCCGCTCCCCCAGCGAGAGGCTCCTCTCTGGGCTTCACACCCGCTGCCGCTCTAGGCCTCGGCTCAGCCCCGCGCTGTCCTGACTCCGCTCCCCCAGCGAGAGGCTCCTCTCTGGGCTTCACACCCGCTGCCCCACTAGGCCTCGGCTCAGCCCCGCGCTGTCCTGACTCCGCTCCCCCAGCGAGAGGCTCCTCTCTGGGCTTCACACCCGCTGCCCAACTAGGCCTCGGCTCAGCCCCGCGCTGTCCTGACTCCGCTCCCCCAGCGAGAGGCTCCTCTCTGGGCTTCACACCCGCTGCCCTATTAGGCCTCGGCTCAGCCCCGCGCTGTCCTGACTCCGCTCCCCCAGCGAGAGGCTCCTCTCTGGGCTTCACACCCGCTGCCCTACTAGGCCTCGGCTCAGCCCCGCGCTGTCCTGACTCCGCTCCCCCAGCGAGAGGCTCCTCTCTGGGCTTCACACCCGCTGCCCGCTAGGCCTCGGCTCAGCCCCGCGCTGTCCTGACTCCGCTCCCCAGCGAGAGGCTCCTCTCTGGGCTTCACACCCGCTGCCCCACTAGGCCTCGGCTCAGCCCCGCGCTGTCCTGACTCCGCTCCCCCAGCGAGAGGCTCCTCTCTGGGCTTCACATCCGCTGCCCTATTAGGCCTCGGCTCAGCCCCGCGCTGTCCTGACTACGCTCCCCGAGTGAGTGGCTCCTCTCTGGGCTTTACACCCGCTGCCCTACTCCGCCTCGGCTCAGCCCCGCGCTGTCCTGACTCCGCTCCCCCAGCGAGAGGCTCCTCTCTGGGCTTCACACCCGCTGCCCCGCTAGGCCTCGGCTCAGCCCCGCGCTGTCCTGACTCCGCTCCCCCAGCGAGAGGCTCCTCTCTGGGCTTCACACCCGCTGCCCCACTAGGCCTCGGCTCAGCCCCGCGCTGTCCTGACTCCGCTCCCCCAGCGAGAGGCTCCTCTCTGGGCTTCACACCCGCTGCCCCACTAGGCCTCGGCTCAGCCCCGCGCTGTCCTGACTCCGCTCCCCCAGCGAGAGGCTCCTCTCTGGGCTTCACACCCGCTGCCCTATTAGGCCTCGGCTCAGCCCCGCGCTGTCCTGACTCCGCTGCCCGAGTGAGTGAAGAGGCGGTACATTACAATGGGTTATTGACGGTTTGGTGGTGTTTTTTNGCTGTAGTTACACCTCGTGGCCACCGAGTCAAAGTGGCGCCGTGGGATCGCGCGTCACAGAGCACCACCGAACACACTGCAGTTACACCTGGTGGCCACCCCGGCTGACCGTGGCGCTGTGGCATTCTGCGCCACAGATCAAGTACGGAGCCAAACGGCGCGAACAAAATAAAGACACAGAGAAAGGTAATCAACAGCAACAACACTACATTTTTATAGCACCGAGTCCTCCCACTCAGTCCTCCCAAATGGTGTCCTCCCACAGGAGTCCTCCCAGATGAGTAGAGATGAAGATGAAATGTCTGTCTGTGGGTCAATCCACATTCCATATTGGATCCTTTGGTTGAAAGTGAAGCTGCAACGGGTGCAGCTCGTTATTCAATGAAGTAGAAAACAAACCACGAAAGGCCTGTGAGTTCTAAAGAGTTTAATGGTAATGGTGAGGCAGATAGAGCAGTGGGATATGAAACAGGCAATTGTCACTGAGCAAAGGGAGCAGCCGGTCACTGTGGATGAAGGAAATCGCAAAGGGAAGTGAGGAAAGTGCTTGAAATAAGTTGCTTGACAGAGACTTCACTGCATTTCAAAGTGAAGTATCCGAAGTGTTCAGAAATGTTCTCCAGATATGAAACTGCCAAATAGAACGAGTTGTATGTATTAATATGACTCTATATTCTGCCATCTCTGATTTACCAATCACAGCCACTTGAGGTGACCCAACAGTTGCTGTTGGTGTGAAGGGGAATAATGTATGAAAAGTCCGGCTGTGGGCCCCACGGTGTGAGAGCAGGAAGCTGCTCACTTACTGACTGCACACAATCACAGTTGTGCTCTGAGTTTCTGCCCCACCTGAAGGCGATGTGAATCATTCTGTGTGAAGCGTCTTTCAAGCAAGAAGACTTTAGATATAAAAAGCAGGAACTTGTTTAGCATTTTGCTCATGAGCTGTTCTGCAACATGAACTATTCCATCACATCCACAAACAATCATTTCCTGTGAATTCGAAGTCTTGAATAGCAAATAACAAAAACAACAAAAACAAGATTCCATTTATAAAGCGCCTTTCACGTCAGGAGGACGTCCCAAGGCGCTGCACAGTTGTGTCATGACCCGAGCATTGGGGGGAAATGGTCAGGGGGAGGGAAGGGAGGGAGCGAGGAGGGGGGAAATGGTCAGGGTGAGGGGAGGGAAGGGAGCGAGGAGGGGGAAGAGAGTCGACCCCAAACAATATAGAAATATTTAAAACAGAGAACTCTCCATCATTTCTATTGTTTGCTGAGTAAAGTCAGCGCCTCTTAATTATTGTGTATGTAAGAATACGACAAACGATGCAGAAAATGTGTTGACAAAGTCAACCGGCCAATAAGAAGTGATATCACAAGCTGAGTGTAAGAGGCACTGCATATTATTCTCTGGGTGATTAGGCTGTATATCTGTGCCACATTACACCAGCGATGCACTGCACAATATTAACTGTCCACTGTTCAGATACTCTCCAACACTTGGTGCGGTTTTCACATTGAGACTGTATGAACATAAGGAATGAACAGCCTAATGAGGCCATAGACACAGTTATTTGGGACGTTGGGAAGAGGAAAGAACTGATATTTAATAATCCAAGACATGAAGATACATGGTTTGAAATCATGAGCCATATATTATATGAAGCCCTTTGAGACGCGTAGAAGATGTGAAAAGGTCCTATATCAAATGCAAGGATTATTACTATTATTATTATTTCTTGATGCCCATTTGGGACATGAATTCAAGATTGGAATACAAAAATCAGCAGACAATCTGGTGGGAGACCAGAACATTGCTAAACCACAGGAAATAATATTTTAATTAAGGCACAATATAATTTTTTGCCCACTTAATACAGTTACCAAGCATTAAAGTGCTTGAGGAGTTTCAATAATGTAGTACGGCATTATGTGAAATGCAAGAAATATTATAATAATTATTATAAGAAGATAAGAAAATCAGAATTGCTCGATGAAAGAATACCAAGGTCCATCTGGTTCACCTTCCACTATCCTGGCAGTCGAATGCATATGTTATGTCTTAAACAATGTACTGTGTCACACAACATTATTTCTAAAAAGTAACATATCTCATTTATTTTTACAAGAATCAACACTTTCTCCTTCCATCATCTCCCCCCCCCTTTAACTGAAATAATGTTCCAGCAGATTTGTTTTGCATTTACCGCCTCCTCCACACACAATGCAAACACACACACACATACGTTGAAGAAAGGAATTTGCGAAGCTTGAGCGTCAGCGAGAGGGCTAATACTATTGAGACTTATATTAATATTAATTTGCTGTAAAGGCTGAATGTAAAGGTACAATTATTGCTCTGTGCAGGTCAGAGGGAATGTGACACGTGACTCCCCTCAGGCCTGCAGCTATTGGTGGGTTCTCCACCCCCTGTCCCACTGCCCCGTTATATAGCGGTCACTGGGGACTGAGGCCATATGTACGGCAGCTCTTTGGCCCTCGGATATTCGGTTCAAGTCTCAGTTCTGACAAGTGCCCAGAAACATGAGGTCCCTGATTTCTCTCAGTCTGCTGCTGGTTGTCTTCTCCTGTGAGTGCTATTATTCTGACAGTCTCACTCTTCCTATGTCGGTGTTATTCTCTCTGCAATGTCACACAGTAATTAATCTTCTCTCATTTATTCTTTACAGGTGTCCAGGCCGATGTGGTGCTGACACAGCCGCCGGCTCAAACTGGAAACCTGGCCATCCCCTGAGACTGACCTGTAAAACCAGCGGGATTGATCTCAGCAGGTATGCCATGAGCTGGGTCCGGCAGGTTCCTGGGAAGGGGCGGGAATGGCTCCTCATGTATTACAACTCATCCAGCAATGCATTTGCGCCTGGGATTGAAGACCGTGTCACTGTCATCAAAGAGAATTCCAATAACATCTTTGACTTGATCATCAAAAGTGGACGACACCGCCATCTATTACTGTGCAAGAGGGTCACAGTGAGAGGAAACGGGGCTGAACTCCTACAAATACACAAGGGGAGGAAAGGCAGCCCCTCCCACCCTAAACTGCCTGACAGTCATGGTGTCAATGCTGTGTCTGGAGCGAAGATTAAAGGAAAAGCTTCAAATGGATTTCTTCTCATGTTAAACCTACACAGTGAGTCGTGGTTTGATGGGGCGAATGACCTGCTTATTGGTGCTGCAATATTCTGGGATTTCAGTTGGTAAGTGACACTGTGCTGTTTGAGGCGGGAAGGACTGCGATAGGAGACTGGCGATGTGACGGTTCACAGATATCCTCTTGTTACAATCTGAGCTGTTGGAGATATTTGTTTTCTGTTTCTGTAGCTGTGAAGAAAGTATTAGATAGACTCGATGTCATGTCACAGGGGAATAGGCCATTTCAGTGAATTATGGCAGTCAGTATTGAGCAGACATTGAGGGCAGTATTTGTATGGGACTGTGTCACTGTGTATACAGGGGTCACAATGCTGCACACAGCCATCTCCTCATACAAAAACCCGAGCCAGAGAGGCTGCTCACCTCTGTCATCACTGAAACATCCACAGCCTCCAAATAAATGTTACAGAGAGTGGATCCTTCTCATAAATGTATTTAACAGATGAATTCAGAATGATTTAGATTACAGGACGGTATTAAACAAGACTGACGTCTGTGGAGCTGCTTTAACATTAATCCAAAGTCTCTAATAAACATAAGGATTTATTCTGAGTGAAACATCACATGAAGCCTCAATGGTGAATCTGAGCCGAGGTCCAGTCAGTGTCTGATATTCCAGTCAATATTTGTTAGTTTATCCTGTGCAGGAGTTTGTGTCATAGTGTGTATCACTGTGATACTGGAACCACAGCATTAACTGTCAATACAAAAACCCTTCAACACCAAACCAGCTCATGTCTCTCACTGTTCGCTTGTGTGGCCACTTAATGTGCAGGGATTTGGTATGTTTAAAATGCCGCCTTCCACTGAGGATTTTACCAGATTTTAATAGACATAAAACATTTATTCTTCAATCTGTTGGTACAAGAAAAGGTGTTTGACATGAACACAGCAAACTGGCAAAGACACAAACATTTAAAGGACAGTTATTCACTCACAATGCTGACATTGTTTTATATGTTTGTTTGATTCACTTTAACAACTACTTAATGTAATGAATTCCGCGTTGCCAGGCTATCTCGGAGTTTAATGTATGTTAAAGGGGTTTCCCTGATATCGCTTTCAACAGCCACTGTTGATTTATGGATTATTCATTGTTGGTGATATTTTTGGTGGTTAGTGAATGTACAGCTGAGGTTACACTGATGGACTTTGTGCAGTGTCTGATCGCGGTGACTGGAGGTTGGTAGTTTTCAGGAATTGTATAAAAGTGTTTGAAACTATGTTGGGAATCAGGGCCGGATTGTTGTTGGATGAGCGATGGGAAGGTTATCTGATCGATTACAATGTGTATTTCAATCCTTTATTTAACATAAGGACCGCGGGTGCAGTTTAAAGTGTCTCAATCTGGGGGAGGGGGTGAGTCTGAGAGTAAAGCGGGTTTATACTGCTGGGATGTGATTGTAAACACAGCAGCTCAATCTGCACGGATGTTACAGCAATAATGGTGAAGGTTTTTATTTTAATTAATATCAGCATTAATGTGCTGCTCACAGTCTCGTTGCCTCAGCTGCTCCTCACACCAGTCATGGTTTAGTCAGCGAGAGTTAGAGCTCAGACATGATTTCAATTAATCTTAACAGCAATTGAATGAACATGACCGCACTTCCTCACAGTGCACAGATCTCCTCTCAAACACTAAGAGGATCATGACTCTGATGGCATTTACACAGTTATTTTGTTCTGCACCATGACCGGGTGTCTTTAACATTAGCTTTGCTCTGCTGGAGAAACGCCGCCCTCCTGAAGATCATCAAGTGGATGATCAGTTGGGCCAACACAAAAAAATAGTTTCTCTTGTATAAAAGTAATGACAAAAATTACAAACACATTAAGAATATATTTCTCTTTAAATATCTTCTGTGAAAACCCAGCCAGCATACATACACAGGCATGCACACAGTCATTCACGATAACAAAATAATTATTGCTCAAGGTATGGTGCCTATCATGTCCGTGAGATGTCTCAAAGCGCATCACAAGATATAATGTAAAGTGAATTGACTGTATTTCATGGGCTAAATGCAGAAGCCCAGTTGAGTTCAACAATGTCTCACAAATAGGCGTAGAGAGATTGGCCAATTTTTGTTTAGATGGTTGTTGACCAGGACAACGAGAGAGAGATAGAGACTCACTTCTGTTTTTGAATACTGCCATGGGATCCTTAAATAGCAACTTGGTTTAACATATCAATACGTACATACACACACCACACACACACTTTCATACATGCACATACACACATATACATACATAGATACATAACAATAATAATGCATTTGATAGAGTGCTTTTCATATCTTTGAGACGTCTCAAAGCGCTTCACAGTATATTGTATAGTAAATTGCTGTATATTTGTGGGTTAAACGTGGCAGCCAAATGCGCACAGCAGTTTACCACAAACAGTCAAAATTGAAGCAGCCAATTTTATTGTTTTTTTTTTTCTTGAGGCATTAGAATCAGGCGTGTGGAGTAAGGAAACTTCCCCAGGGTTTCACTCTGATGGAAATTAAACCCAGGTTTCTCGCTTGTAAGGCGAGTGCATAAATACATACCTACATACATAAATACATGCGTGCACACAAAGATACATACACACCGGCACACACACACCGCACATATACATGCATACTTTGACTTGGGTAACAGTTTTGCTTCAGTTTATCTGTTTCTGAAAAAAATGTAGAAGAGTAGTATCTCAAATCTAACTTTCCTCTTGGTTTCCAGCTGTAACTACTCCTCCCAGTCTTTACGCCCTGCTGCCATACTGTGGACAATCCTCTTCTGGAGGATCAGTGACTGTTGGGTGTCTGGACTCCAGCTACAGCCCCGATTCCGCCATCTTCACCTGGAGATCAAATGAACAACTCATCACTGACCAAGTCAAGACGTATCCCCCAGTATTCAACAAGAATGGTCTCTACACTCTGAGCAGCCAGTTAACAATCGCTGAATACCAGCTGGACAACATCCATTGTAAGGTTGCACATAAAAGCAACACATGGCCACCCGTGGAGATCCCCATACCAGGTCAGTGTTGTTCGACAACGTACAGGACAATCAAACATGTTGCTCCCATATCACTCAGGGTCGAACACTCAACATTGTAGGTGTGGGTATGTCACTTTTCTTCACCAGGTTATGTGAACACTCCCATCACAGAGAATCTGCAATGTCCTGATGATGTTACCCTCATTTCCCAAGTGCTGCGTTACCCGGAGATAATGGGCACAAATGAACAGATATAAACAATTATAAACCACTGCGCACAGACTGAGCAGAGACACACTTTACTCTCAGCTTGTTCAGCGGTATCTTGTGCTTGAAGGCTTTCTCTGATTGACGGCATCAGTGTATTGATTTGATGTTATTGTTTCCACAGTTTTGTACACGAAACAACCTTCAGTGTATCTGCTTCTCCCATCGGCAGAAGAATTGTCTGCTCAGCAGTCTTTCACCCTCAGTTGCCTGGTGAAGAAATTCGCTCCCAAAGAGATCTTTGTGGAGTGGACTGTGAATTACCAATCGATTGATGCCAACAAATACAAGAACACTGAGTTGATGGCAGAAAGTACAGATTACTCCACGTACAGCATGTTATCCATCTCAGCCGGAGATTGGGACAGAGGCTATTCCTACTCCTGTGTGGTCGGACATGAAACTTTCCCACTGAAGACCCTGACCAGAGCCGTTAATAAATCCAGCGGTAAACCGAGTTTTGTAAACATTTCCCTTGTCCTGATGGACACCGTGAATGCCTGTCAATGAGGCTCTCAATACCATTTTGCTTATTTTTTGTGCACCCGCCTCCCGACCATTCCAATGTCAGTTTGGAGTCATGAAAAAGTAACTCAAATAAAGATCATTGTTGTATTTATGAGTTTACGGAGGGGATGATTTCCAATTAATTACACAGACAATTTCCAGATTGAGAAATGATACACCTTTTGTTTGAAGCGATGTTAGTATCAAGTTAAGTCAGTTTGGTTTGGATACTCTTAAGCATGGGGATGGAGTTTCACTTGTTTTAGACACCCGGCTGACCAAAAAAAAATGTTTTTAGGGCATTCCCAATTCATTCCTCAACACCGGTTACAATCTAATCTCAGAATGGATTTTGTTTACAGCATGTTGTGGAATTGCGTGGGACAGCTCAAACTGTTTCATTCCAGGATGATTTATTTTTCAGTAAATAATATCACATTCCACACATAACTACATCTCAGAAGCAAATTATGGCCTTTTCTGCTAAATTTGCTGGTAAATACTTCTCACGAACAGCAACAGATCTGGGTGCAGCAACATATTCACTAACACCACACGCACCCATACTCGTACATTGTAAAACAAAGACATCCATTCACATTCACGCACACTTACACACACTGACATACACCCAAGCCTACACACACTTACACACACTCACATCCACCCAAGCCTACACACACTTACACACACTGACATCCACCCAAGGCTACACACACTTACACACACTCACCAGACCAACACACATTCGCACACACCTCCACCCAGGCCCATACACAATCACACACACCCAGGACGTCAAACACTCAAACAAACTCACACACACTCACATCCACCGAGGCTCACACACACCCAGACCCACACACATTCACAAACACTCACATACCACCACACTCACATCCACCCAGGCCCCCCACAACCCCAACACCACACTCACATCCACCCAGGCCCCCCCCCACAACCCCACACACCACCACACTCACATCCACCCAGGCCCCCACAACCCCACCCCCACACTCACATCCACCCAGGCCCCCACAACCCCACCCCCACACTCACATCCACCCAGGCCCCCCACAACCCCACCCCCACACTCACATCCACCCAGGCCCCCCACAACACCACCCCCACACTCATATCCACCCAGGCCCCCCACAACCCCACCCCCACACTCACATCCACCCAGGCCCCCCACAACCCCACACTCACATCCACCCAAGCCCCCCACAACCCCACCCCCACACTCACATCCACCCAGGCCCCCCACAACCCCACCGCCACACTCGCATCCACCCAGGCCCCCGACAACCCCACGCCCACACTCACATCCGCCCAGGCCCCCCAGAACACCACTTCTCCCCTTTTATACATTGCTGTAACAAATACAACTCAATGTCACCATTTTCGTTGAGGGGAATCTGCAGTTTTTTGAGAATATGATACATGTTTTTGTTCTCTAAGATAGGAAGCATCACCTTGACAGTGAGTGTCAGTGTCTGATCCCTTCCCCAATCAGACTCACGTGGCCACATGCAGCAAAGGTGGTAATCAATAAAGCTCAGGGATGAACCGTTACACTTAACCCTCAATCCCTTCAGCTGATGTAACCTGACGTTTGTGTCGGTTCCTCTATTGCTTTACAGCAATATTAACTATTTTGAAATAGGCACAGTGCCATTGATAAAAATATTGATGATGACATAATATGGTAAAGGACACAGTCATGAATAACATGGGGAATGGCATAAAGTTACAGAGCATTCGGCTGAGTTGGCAGAAAGGTGGAAATGAAGTTCAATATTGAGACAGCAGTTTGTTGAAAGTATAATGGCGAAAAACAATCACTAAAGGAATTACAGCAAAATAATTATAAGGGAATTAACAAAACTTGGAGAATAAATCGAAGGGATTGAATATCAAAAGGCCATACAAATGATTGAGTGTTTTTCACATAGGAATTTGATTGCCAATTGCATGTAAAGTTAGCACGATTGTGGGTTGAGCACTGTATTCAGTTCTGGACACTATTATGCAAAGGAAATAAGAGCCGCTGAGAAGGTTTAGGTTAGTGTCACAAAGAAGATCCCTATGATTGGCGTTACAGTGATGAGGATGAGCTTCAAACATTCTGGCAGAAACAAAAAGGAAGAGTATCAAATACAAGTTGTTTTGAAAAACTGATATCGTGAAAGACAATTGTATCCATACAAACGGGATAAAACATCCAGGAAAGTCACTGCAAAATATAAAGTAAGCGTCGATTTTTATATAGAGGTAAATAATAATAATCCTTGCATTTGATGTTGCGCCTTCTCATGTCTTCGAGACGACTCAAAGCGCTTCGCAAAACATACTGTAAAGTGAATTGACTGTACTTTGTGGGCAAAACATGGCAGCCAACTTCACACAGCAGACATTTTGAATATAGGATTGTTGACCACCACACCATAATGTAAAGGAATTTGAAACAGCATTTCAATAGTCACGGAATGAAAATGGAAAACAACAGCAGAAAGGTGGAATTGGAGCATTGGAACAGATTTGCCATTTTCTACCAGAAGAGTCTCAATGGGAGGATTTCCACCTTTTGTAGTTCCACAAGATTAATTTTCTCAACGTGTTTCCAAAATTCTTCTCTGGATTCAATAATTCTTGGAACAAATGTACAAACACTAAAATCAATTACTTCTTCATCTCTCTTAAAATTAGAAGTTTTGAAGGGAGGGAGGAAGCCCATGATCAACTGGGAAACTTTATATACATTAATAATCAAGAAGGAAAAGAAGAAGTCTCAGTTTTCAATCCCCTCTGAATATATTTCTTTTTTTTTATCCTCACAGATTTCCCAGCCGAGACGATGCTGGAAGGTTTTCAACAACATGGAAGTGGCAACCTCTGGCCGACTGCTTCCACCTTCATCATCCTCTTCTTCCTGAGTATTTTCTACAGTGCCACGGTCACTCTATTTAAGGTGGGGAGAGGAAATTCATTGACACTCTGATCTGATGTAACAGCTGCCGGTAAATAATTCTTCCACGGGAACTGATGGTGAAGCTCATTGCAGCCACTGTGCTGGGAAACTCCCCCTGTCCCCACAGGACAGGATCCGTGTGACCAAGCTGTGTGAGGGTGATGGACATATCCTCTCACCATTACACACCCTATCACACCTGACATATGCTCACCTGGTATAGCCACAGGCAAGGAGCGAGGCTCATTTACTGATCTTGTGGATCTTTCAGTATATTGTGGAGACTTGAAAGCGAAGGGCTTCTGCCTGTATAAGGCAATGACAGACCAATACCCACTGACACAGTATCAATTGGGATTGTGTGTGTTTGTAGTGGTGGGGGGTATGTGTGGACATTCATATACACAAATAAACACAATATGAAATACTAAATCTCCTCCCAGGCTGAAATTATTCATCATATCTTTACTTTTATTTTCCAGGTAAAATGAGTATATTACCATCAGCTTCACCGATGTTCCTCGTCTGTTTGTGTTTATCGTCAATGTCCTGTGACAGAGTATGTGATGTCCTGTTTCACCGATTGATCTAATTCATTGGAAGTAAACATTGTATTGTGCAACTACGTAGATTTTAGAGACTTTTCTTATTGTTGGATTATTTCCCAATCTGCCTTTTGTGAATAACATTTCACATTGTTATTTCATGTACTGTCACACCTCTCTGATATTCTTTATTTGCTGTTTACTATTTGTGTGGTGTAATGATACAGAAAGACAGAGGCTGTTATATTTTATCCTTTTATTTCATTCTGAAGATGACTATTTGGGGTCCGATCCTATTCCATAATGCCTACAGAATCTCTATATTTGTTTGTCCGAAGTATCAAGAAATGATAAAAGTTAGTGAGCTGTTTGATCTGTGTCTTTCCTGTTCCCTTTGTGTCAATGCCGCCTTGACTTCTGATTTCCAAATTGTTCAGATTCACAGAAGCTCAGCATTAAACAAAAGCTGTTGAATGAACTGTCCGACTTCAGTTCGGGTTTTACTGGAACAATTAATGGGCAAAAATCTTTGCACTTGAATTGCTTCTCCGCTCCAGTGACCAGCAGCTGCTTCTGTCCCCTCGTGATCAGCTCCACACCCAGATACAGCTTCAGACACATGGCTATTCTAATATAGTAACACGCAGCTCTGTGTTATAGTATTTATAGCACAATGTGAGTGTGCAATGTGTTTGATATATGCAGAGAGCTTCATCTCCTGCCTGTGCTGAGCTGACAATCTGAGCAGCACCACAGTGGGAGGCCATGAAGCCCAAATCCCAGCTGTGGGCTGTTGGTATGCTGTGTTGGCCCAGACTCCTCTTCACAGTTTAAACTGTGAAAGCCTTTGGGACGTCTTGCTGACGTGGCAGCAAACAACATGTGCAACCACTTGAGACAGAGGTTTTTGGCTCAAATCCACATCGGCATTTGACAATAATGGAGTTGATGTTTGTGAAATACATTCCAATGCTCTGCTGGGGTTGTGCCGTGTTGTTATGGGTTTAGTTCTTCGGTCCTTTTGCCTTCTTACCAAACTATTGAAGTGCTTTGACACATCTCCTTGATGTGAAAAGCTCCATAACAAACCTCAGGATTACTACTGAGATGGTCGACTTTCAGCAAACAGAAAATCAATAAGTACATCTTTCATATGTTAGTTTCAACATTAGAGACAGACAGACACGTGCAATAATCCGTTTGCCGTTTCACCTATTTCAATATTTTTTAAAAAATGAACAGATCCAGAATTAATATTGTCGCCATTCCACAGAAACTCCCTGCACAGAAGCACATATTTGCGTCCATTGTTGGCTGTTATTTTCTCTAAAATTTATATTTGCATAACTCGAACAGTAAGTATTTCCCCGCTCTCCCCCATATACCCTTCTAACCCAGTTCACAGCCAATTCTATTGATTAATATGGAACACTGATATCCCGCTCAGTGCGTAAATGTGGTGTAACATTTTTCTTTATGAATCTGCATCTACCAAAGATCAAGCCCTGATCTATATTGAAGCTAAATATATGCACAAATGTCTTAACTAGTCAGAGCAGTTGAATTCCAACTATCGCTGTTGGCTATCAATTATTCTACTTCCCCTCCCCCGCACACACTCCCTCCCCTCCATCCCTAATGTTCTCTGGAGCAAAGAAAATGTCAAATGTTTTTCTAACCGGTTGTTGGATTACCTGTACAGATTCACTGTGCCCATAGCGTAGTGATGTGCTTCACGTTCCACTGAGGGAAAGTGGCGTCTTTCTGATGTTGATGAACTAAACAAAACTTGCAGGACAAACTTGCTGTTCAGAGATAGATAACTTTAAACAATTTTTTAAACGAGAAACATGACGGCTGAGGTTCTATAAAGGGAGTGCTGTGGAATCTTGTAGCTCAGTGGTTAAAGCACACGCATTGCAAGCGAGACACCTGGCTTGATTCCAGGCCGGGCGAAACCTTGGCCAAGTTTCCTTACTCCACACACCAAATAATAATCCCTCCAAAAAACAAATTGGTCATTTTGAATTCACGACTGTTTGTGGGACACTGCTGTGCGCAATTAGCTGCCGCGTTTCACCTACAAATATACAGTCAATTCACTTTACAGCATATTCCGTGAAGCGCTTTGAGACGTCGAGAAGACGTGAAAGGCGCTGTGTCAAATGCAAAGATTATTATTAGTAGTAGACTTATTATTATATTGCATTCAGTGTTTTAAGCATTTTTTATCCTCAGTTATATCAGCTTTTAATCTGAGCTGATCTACTGTAACAGATCAGTTTGAACATAAGAATTGTTAGTCGAAAAAAGATCATGGTCTGTCCAGTTTGCCTTCCACCATCCTGGAAGTCACATGCACATGTCAGGCTCACACTATATCCCACAATATTATTTCCTAAAATACGTCCATCTAATTTGCTTTTAAAGGAATCAACAAGTTGTGTTTCAACCATCTCCCGAGGGAGACTGTTCCATACGTTTGCTGCTCACTCGCTGAAATAGTATTTACGCAGATGTATTTTGAATTTCAAATGCAGGCCATGTCCTCTGTTTAGCCGCCACTCTGTACATGTATTTTACTTCCTACCGTTCATCTTTATGAGAATCAGCACAACAGTGAAGGAATTTCGCTTGTGTCACACTTTACCGTTTAATGCAGAATTTTGTTCTGATCAAAACTTGGCAAATTGTAAAATACAGCCATAAACGTAACGTACCATTTGCCCAAATTTATTGTGTCAACGACAGCAAACTGGTGACAGGAACAAAAANTTACGTTGGTAAAGCGTCTTTGATGCTGGGAGGACGTCCCAATGCACTGAATCACCACACAATTGGTCAATGTATATGAAAGAGGGGTCGGTTGATGAAGAATTTCACAGGAGACAAAACTCTGTTTGGGGAACAGTTTAACTACAACTGTTCTTCAGGAAACCCTTAATGTCTGGAATGGAATGTGTAAATCTCTTCCAGGAGGAGCAGACCTATCCAACCTAATTCAGGTGCATTTCAGACTCTGGTGCGTTAGGCTTTGGAAGTGTAACTGCTGGGGTTTAATCAGTTGAATGTGAAATCTTGCGATTGCACGCACTGTCTGGCAAGTTTCCTGTGACTTGACCAGTTAGAATTGTCCTCTGTGTTAGTGCTTTGACCTGCAGGGTTAACAGGACTTAAATGGGATGAATCTCCAATGCCCACTGTGACTGCTTTGCCCACTGGTCCTACCAATTGGGCAGGCAGACAGGCTGGTTTGCCAACAGCAGGACCTGGATTACATCCGAACCCACGTGGTTCAGGAACCCGATTATCGAGGATTGTCACAGAGGATTGACTCAGTTCCACATTTTATTGCCAACCGTTCCACCGAGGAGTGAATTCATTTCCAATAAGAAACCTAAACCCCCAACACTCCCCCACCCCCTTCCCACCACAACACACACACACCGCCCCTGTACTCCATATGGATAGTCAAATTAAAGTACAAATCACAATTGATAACTTGGAGAAAAAATTATTTAAATTAACCCTTTTACTGAAACCTGCTGCCCCAGGTCAAACAACACTTACAAGAAACCATTGACATTGGCACGTGTTGGTCTGAGAAAGAGTCAGTTTCTTAACTGCAGGAAACACCTGCACTTTCTGACACTAAATTAGAGCGATTTCCTCCTAATGTAAAACTGACCTGAAAGCCATCTGCTAGAAACTGGTTAAAAATGTTCCACCGAACAACACAGAGCGTCCTCCATATATGGCTTCTGTCTGTGGAAATAAAATAATTGTCAAATTAAAGTCTCAGATATAGTTCTGCAGAGGTTACAAAAACTGTTGATCGGCATTTGTAACTATTGGGGAATACTTCACAATACAGCATTAATATTATCCGGCAACAAACCAATGACAAACACCAGATAAACATGTTACAGAGCTTAAACTTCTTGGTTTCTTGGTTATTTCATGTTTCTGTAACTACAATCCCTCCACCCAAACTGTATATCACAAAAGTAAAACAAATATTCGAAACCTATAACATGTAAATTAGCATCAGAGGGAATAACAATTTGCAGTTGTTATTATGGCCGCCTTATTACAATCTAACAGCAATATGAGGAACACGTGTGACGGCAGAACAGGAACCTTTTTCATTGAGTATAATTGATCTTTGGAAATGTATTTTAGAGACTGTGACTGTGAAACCAAAACTATTCAGGAAATAAAGCAGCTTTTGTGTCTAAGTGTTCATATAAAGTGTTTGGAAACAAGTAAATTGTTTGTATTGTGTCTGAACGCTGAACTATGTGTATTAACTCGGCTCAGTTGGCAGCACTCTCGCCTGTCAGTCAGAAGGCCGTGGGTTCAAGCCCTATGTCTGTGTGTGGAGCTCAGGACCTCTCGGCATTGCAGTGCAGGGGCTGAGGTGTATTGGAGGAGATTTGGTCGTCTGTTTCTGTGGATGTTATAGAACACACTCCTCTGTTTAAAAAAAACAGGACATTTCTCAAACGGGGATTGTTGGCCAGGATACAGGGAGTCACTCCCTTCTCGTGTCGAGTAGTGCCCTGGGATCTTTAACATCGACCTGAACAGACAGACAAACCTCTGTTTAATGTCTCATCTGAAGGATTGCGTCCCTCACAACACAGCACAGCCCCGGCAGTGTTTTGTAGTATCAGCGGGACTGTATGAGTTTAAAATGCCGATGTGGATTGTGTACGCACAACCTTAGAATCAGAGGCAAAACTGTTGCCATGTGATACTGACTAATACACACTTCACGGCTGCTTGGCATCGGCTGCAAAACACAGGCACTAAACTCTGCTGTAAATCATGTGCAGTGACGAAAATATTCTCCTGACATGAAAGGCGCTGTATAAAATGTAAAGATTATTATATTCTCTGTGTATTACAGGTGTTGAAACAACATTTAAAACCTACACCGGTGAAACAACATCTGAGAGAACAATAATTGAGAGTGTCTATTATCCCCTCAATCAGAGAACCAAAGACGTTTACAACATAGAAAAGGTAACTTGTTCTATTCTGTGTCTGTTGGTTCTTTTAATTGCAAACCTTTGTATCCCGTTCACTCGCTCTGTTCATATACACCAATAGTTGACTCCAGTTCAGCTATGTTTCTGGTTCTTTTCAAAACTAATATGGATTTTTATCACAACACCTGAGCCGGTCAGCCCACTCCATATCCAAACCACTCTTTGCAATAATAAACGAACATCGCCATTAGCTCGTTTGCTAACTATCTTAAATTAATATCCTTCAGTCACCCATTTACTGAACAGTAGCAATACATTCTCTCTATCAGCTCTATCAATAACTCAGATAATTTAAAGCCCTCTATCAGGCCATCTCTCAGCCATTTTTCATTAGATTTCCACCATTAATGTGGAGTCATTGTGGAGTCCTGTATCTCAGTGTTTAGAGTACCAGCCTCACAAGCAGGAGACCTGGGTCCGATTA